TCCCCCCCCCCCCCCCCCCGCCCTGCCACATGCAAGCTTCCCAACGCTCCACGTCTGTCTGGCCCAAACCCCCCCACCTTCCCCCACACTCCACATCTGGCTGCTGCCACCCCCCTGCTCCACCAGAAGTGGGGTACACTCCTTAAAAAAGGCTGAAAACCCCTGCTTTAATAGATACTGACAGCACCTGCTCTACAGGGGAATGTCCATAAATAAGAGTACCGTATTTCATGGTGTATGGCATGGGATGGGGCCACACCAGCCGAGCACTGAGTCAGGACTTGTCTGTAGTGAGCAGCACTGTTAAGCACCAAGCCCAGTGCCACTTGCAGGGGACAGGACTGGGCTTGGCATTCGGCTGGCACGGCCTCATCCCCTCCTCCACTGCCAGTGGCACTGGGCTCACAGGGGATGGGGCCGCAGTAGCTGAGCACTGACCCTGACCCCGTCCGCTACAAGCGGTGCTGCAGAGCACCAAGCCCAGTGCTGTCCCCTGTGAGAGGTGCCAGACTCAACATTTGGTAGTGCTACTATCAGCAAACAGAGCCAGACATTTTTGAAGTGGCACGGCCTGTAACTCGGGTTTGATTTTTAAGACACCAAAATTGGGCTTCAAAACTCGACTTATACACTGTAAAATATGGTACCTGACTTTACAAAAAGGGTCTCTATGAATATAAGGACAAATATTATCTCTCTGCCCTAAACTGGGGAACTTTTAAGATATGTCATGTTAGAGAAGCTCTCACCTGGTATACAGCTGGTTGTTCCAACTATTCCCCCCATTGCCAGGGGAGAGGTTACACTGAAGCAAGGCAAGAAATAATACAAAAGTTTCAGGGCAGAGCTTCAATACTTTCATCTGGTGCAAGTCCTCCAAGGACCATAGCTGCTTGCCTCGGAATTAGAACTACAGCTTCTTAAACCTGAGATCAGGTATCCACAGTTTGTCCTCTTTTCTTCCTATCTCTTCTGTCCTTAGTGGAACTTGGCATTGAATCAGTTTCATAGCATATTATCATGGATATAATTTAATGGCCAAGATGTATAAAATATAGGCAAAGTTCACACATACTGTGACCAAGAAGCTGAATTACTTACTTCAATTCTCTTTTCAAATCCATCTCCCTTTATGAGGCGGTCAACATAGATCTTGGGGATATGAATGTCTTCTGGGGCAAATGATCCTATATCAACAATTTCTTCCACCTGCAAAGAAAAAAAGGAAAACTAAATATAGCCTGATAAGCCAGCAAAAGAGACTTATGACAGATCAGCAGTGAAAATTCCAGATACTTTTCATACAGCAGATTGAATCTGCCCAAGACAAGGAAGAGTGCCAAAATAATAAAGTAGCCCAAAAGTTGGTGGCTAAATTTCCCTGGTGCACAGGGCAGGCACCAGGATTTTCCCAGGCAAAAAGCATTTCCACATACATTATAATGAGTTATATTTCTAATTAGCCAATTTGTACAGCCATATCAAATAAATGTATCCTGTAGACTGACAATGGTTTTGTGCATGCAATGTAATAGGCATCCAAATAAAAGGAAGTATAAATTTTTGGTGGCAAAAATCAGCATGCAGCTGTTTTAGACATATAGAGGCCACTTTGAGAGCAATTTAAATCTTGACTACAGTTCAAGAAAGTACAATTTTAAGACCTATTAGATCAGTTGGTAAAATAAGTCTGCACAAAAATTACCTCTCTCTGCATTCACTATATTTTATGGGATTTCTTTGAAAGGAATTCTTAGGTGAGCAAATGGTCAGTGCAGCTACACAAAGCCTAGACACTGATTTTCCTTATAGTTCGTGTTTGCAATTAGTCACAATATGTGCATGATGTTTTCAGTACTTGTATGTAGGTAAAAACTATTACGTCAAACAATGCAATGTGCCTAAGACAATGTTTTGTAATTCATACTCAAAAGGAAATGAAACCATTATCAGACCTAGTTTAAAGCACAGGTTAGAAAATCAGCATTAATCACAGCATAAATATAGCTAAACAAGCACAAGCCCTAAATGAGAAAGAGTTATGGAATAAGACACACTGATGGAGTTATGCCATTTAACCTTAAAGGTGTGACTAATACAGAAATTTGAGAGCACTGTCATCGCAGATTAAACAATATTAAAGTAGTCTAAACTCAGGTCATCATGCATAATTCTCAGATGAAAATAAACTTATGTGCTGTTTCTATTGCCATTGTAAAATCTCATGAATAATAAATGGCATATGGCACCTGTCATACAATGTTTACCCTAATGTGCTCTACAGCACGACAATAATTAAGCAACCTGACAACAAATAAAAGCAAAACCAAAAGGGAAATTGAAAGATTTATGAGTATAAGAGGACATTCTCAGATGACCTCTAAAACAGTTAAAAGAGCTGATGAAACAACAACAGAAGGATGCTTTGTACAAGAATAACTGTAAATAAGAAAGCTTTTGCACTAATAGTGACAAAACTGTGCAAAACCAATGCTACACATTTAGAAGGAGCAAAAAAGGAAAGAAAGACAAAGATTCTATAATGTAGGGTGGAACACGTAATTTAGCTAAAAAAGATGTTTTATTTGATGAAAAAATGGTGCAAATGCATCCAAATATTGTCTTACTAATTAACTGGTTACTGTTATATTTGTTTGATTGATCATTTGGTTGTTTTTTTCTTTATTTCTTTGTTTGTTTTTTTTAATATCACGAGAAGGCAGAATACCTCTGCAATCAAAAATAGGATGCAGTGGAAAAATCCTGAAGGACAAAGTAGAAGACTGTGTCAGAACAGCAGTCACTAAAAATCCTGGAGCAAGGCCAAAAATGTAGAAAAGCAGAAAAGAATTGCATGGACATTTCAATAAAACTATATATAAAACAGAACATCTGCTACCTTCTAGAATTCCTGAATCCCACTTTTCTAATTAGCATGTATAGCAGTACTTACAGTGAAAAATTGAGCCAGGGAATAATTATTGCTCCTGATTTGAACTTTCTTATAAAGGTGCTACTTTTAATCACTTTTACTAAAAAATTAGGATTATTGAAACAAGTTTGTTGTTGGTACAAATAAATTGATTTCAAAGCAATTATGAATGTGACTCATATATACCCCTCTTAAAAGATTTAAAATAAAATAATTTGCATAGTGATATCAATTTTTTGTGTGTTTTACTTTATTTTTAACCTAATGTTTCTTCTGGAGCAGCAGTTAGCATGGTGGATTTTGTGCAAAATAATCGTTAAAATTATACTATAATTTATTTTCTGCATATATAAAAAAATTGACTCTAGAAAATGTAAATTCA